CTTTCAGCTGTTTAGAAGTCACTGATATGTTTTCTTGTGTAAAATGTTCCTCCCTCCTATTTTTTTCTAATTTTGCTGGTATTTTAATTCTCATCAATAATTTCAATATAATTAAAAAGAGATGAAGAAAACCAACCATTGTGGAGAAAAAGTCTAATGATCTCCACAAAACAGAGTAATTGTGGTTCAGCTTTTGTTGTTGTTGTTTTGTGGAAATGTTCTGGCATAAGATACTATGCTGAACTACCACCTATTTACTGGTAGGTTTGTGCTTTGTTTTAAAGCACCTATTGTGACAAACAAAATTTCATGCCAGGCCTCAATCCTGCAGAGGACTGTCATTACAATGAGTTATACAAAATTCGTTGCAGGGTGGGAAGCTGAACCAACAAAAGGAAAATGGTGGAGTGCGTATTTATCACTTCTACTCCCACTATTTCGGTGGAAAACTTATGTGCTCAAAAGATAAAATTGAATGTGATGAAGAAGAGGGACTCAGACTGGTTGATAATCTGAACCATGTATAAATCGATGCAATATGTTCTTGTGTCTATAGATGCCTTGAAACAATAGCTCAGAGCAGGATGAACCACTATGCTCACTTCTGTTAAAAAGTACATAAACACAGACAATACAAAGACATTGTTATCTGTAATCCTCGTTTTGTATTTCTTCTCCATGGGATTCATCTCTCTGTGGCTCGAGGCTTAGCTCCAATGCAGCCTGGCTACAAAACCTGGAGCTAAATGTCAGAACAAATTGTTTTGTTGTGAGAAAGGTCTGTGAGGAAGTGCACAGAGCCATCCAAGATAAAGAAGCTTAAACTGAGAATTCATAGTTAGAAGCTTGAGGATTTAAGAGGAAAAATATGAACACAGCATGCTGGTGCATAAATTCATAAAAAAACAAAACAAGGAGCCAGAAGACAGCAAACTAGCAAAATCAAGGGTGGAGGCTGACCTTTCGCCCCCTTGCTGATGAGTGGCTAGCAAAGACTGATAGGGTATCTTGTTGGGAATGTAAATATATTAATGCATAGTCTAATGGCTCGGCAAATGTAGTTATTTATTGCATGTATTTATTGTGTGTAAAATCTTCTTTGGACTTTTAAGCTGTGTCTGAAGCTCTTGGACACATAGCAAAAGCTGCCTGACTCAGTTAATGATATTGCAAATAAATTTGTAATTTGCAGTTTGTTTTCTCCATCTCAAGGGAGTGGGGTTAGCTATTTGTATAACCACAATTCAGAAAACTACTAACAGCTTTTGTTTTCTATACTAACCTCTGACCACTTAGATGGGAATGGAAACCAACAGAGAAGAAAAAACAAACAAACAAACAAAAACTTTGTCAACTGGAATAATTCACTGTAGTATTTTATTTGACCTTCTTTCCTAAAGTATGATTAAAAAAAAATAAATTGACAACTTTTCTTCCACCACGTTTGCAACTTTCTGTATTTCTGACATGTTCGCCATTGTTCCTATCAGTATCTAAAGCTCTTAAACATTATAAACATGATATAGAATTCAAAGATAGGTAAAAAATATTCTAACATGGAAACATATACTCTATGGAGAAAGAGAGAAAATATAAATAAAATTATACCTAGAAAGGTGGTCTTGCCAACCAGTGGGGGAAATTTGCAAATTACTCCATCTTGCTGATTATTTTTGAAAATCTAGGATATTAAAAAGAAAATAAAATTATTCAAAGAATAGTTTCTAACTTTATATCCTTAGTGAGAATAGTGAGAGAAATAAACTCCAATTTTGTTTAACTGTCAGAAACGCTTCAGAAAGATGGAACTAAACTCTCAGGAACTTAGTTAACATTTGGTCTCTTTTCATTATAACATTTATTTTGTTTATTTTCTTGCTCAGAACAAAAAAAAAAAAAGATGGCAGAAGATAGAGGTGAGAGCCAAAAAAAAAAAAAAAAGTATTATTTGGATGAATCTTTAAAGTTCTTAAGCAGAGTTGTGGAAGAAAATAGAAAATGATGCTTCAGGTATAAGATGTAAAGCATATCATGTGTCCGTCAGTTTACAGTAATACAAAATATGATGAAGAAGACATGCTTTGGGGTAAAATTGCATACTAACCACTTTTGAATGGAGGCAATGCAAATGGAAATATTAAAATGTAATAATACCTTTATTGAAAAGTCAGATGAGAGAAAAACCGTCTGCTGCTATTTTCTTCTCAGATCTTTATGTGGTCTGACATTTCTAAGCAGACTAGCAGCAAGCAGCTGAACAGCTCTGGGAGATACACTAACAAAGATTGCTCTCCTGTAGAGCTGAGCCATCAGGACAAGCTTCTTAATATTTCTGGCATGAAACAGAGATCTTTCCTAAGATTTCTCTAGAGCCTGTGCACAGAAACAGCTGACACCATGTGGGCTCCCTTTAAACTGTTTTGAAATACACTATGTTCTTCCGCCTTTGGCCTTTCACACTGTAAACAATACATTTACGTCTTTGATTTTAACAACTCTGATCCTCCAGGCCTGATTGTTACATCCCCACCCCTGATAAATGGGTCTCACACCTCACCTCAGCATCTCTTCTGTTTCCTCTTTCATGTCTCCTCCATGCCCAGGAGCCTTTCAGATTCTATCTTCAAACTATCGTGAAGCCTCTGAATGTGTTTGAGCTGGACATTACAGCAAATACATCTTTGTGAACTTTGTGATCAAAAGATATCGGGTAGTTTAACTCTACTGTGATTACTTTCAACACACGGCAAAAATCTTGATTTAGGATGGATGCTAGGGTGTGATATGATCACTTTGAACATGCAATCAATAAATTATAGTTCCAGAAACACACGCAGATCACTGAGGAGAATTACCTTGCTAATGAAATGCCCATATCACTACAGCAGAAAAATAGCAGACCCATTTTTAACATATTTCACCTATGTGTGAGGGGTGAGTAGAATTAAGGCAATCTTCCTATACTCAGCTGATGCCCAGATGTATTTTCAGAGTGCTGGGTTTCTTAGTAGTTAGGGTGGCCTAACCTCTCAGACAGCTTCCTGGTAACAGAAAAGGTTTACATTATCTTTGCAAAGTCCTCCTGACCGGTGCAATGTGCTTTGCAATGATAAAGAATAATTGTCCCCCAAAGTTGTTCTTGTACTCTTTTTTTTTTTTTTTTTTCTTTTAGTGACTCCAGCACTACTGTTCATAAACATTTCTAATGTAGCAAAACACAACCATTTTTAAAGAGAAGGTTCTTAGAAATTGATGAGGAACTCCATTTTATTTCCATTCCTGGATTTGGATCTTTCTGTTCCTCCATGAAAATAACACTACTGGATCGTATGAGAAAGTTTTCTCTTGCATGTCAAAAAATATGCTTCAGACTGTTTGTTTCATGAACCTAAAAGTATCAACATAACAGCATTCTCATGTCATTTGCAAACAAAACACAATTATGTAATTATGAGATTTAAAGTAGATCTGGAATAAGATAGTAAATTTAATTCCCTTAGAAATTATTCTAGGGATTTGCAAGAAAATAATGAATATAAAGTTAGAGTTCATTTTCACCAATATAATACTCCTCATAGTCAGATGAGTACTTTATAGATTTATATATTTTTTTCTCCAGACAGTGTGATATCCTAAGACTGTTTTAAGATGCTTTGTTGTCAGATTTTTAAATAGAGATGTACAGAGAAAACACATTTTGAAAACAATACACTATAAATTTAAAATCAATGTTTTCCTTGATTGCATGTCTACCCAGGAGAAAAGTTCTAGTTCATTTACAGGCTATTAGGTTCAAAACAGAAATGACTGGATGAAATTCAGTGAGTCAGATGAAGTGGTAAGTCAGAATAAATAATGCTTATGGCTTAAAATCTATTCAACTGTTTAGAGGGGAAAAAAAAATCAATCCAGATAGATTTGTAACATACAGTTTTTTGTTTTGTTATTGTTAAGGGAAAGAGAGAAAGATCTAGTCTAGAAATACACTCTTCCCTGGGAGCTCTGCTTGGTTTATCACACGAACAGTGCATTTCTACATACTTTTGAAGACCAAGAATAGGAGCTGAAAACTTGGGCACTGATTCAGCAAGGTACTCAAGAATGAGCTCAGCCTTAAAATTGCTCTAATCAAAGCAACATTCCTGGTGCTACTGCTTGATTTTAGAAAGTAAATTTAGCAGTAATGAAAAGATGCCAGAATGAAAGAAGTGAAGGCTGTCATCTCTTTATGCACAGAACAAAATGACAATGGAAGTAGCAAGGACAGCTTTTTTAAGACTTTCCCCTCCACCCCATGCTTATCACCCCTGTCCTCATATATTTAAACTTAATTTGCTTTCTGATGCAGTCCTTGAGATGCCCAACAATTTTAGTTAGTACCAACTAAGTAAGGCTATCACTGACACCAATTCAAACTAATAACGTAAAAGGCTGTAGCTCTAGTCCTATCAACTAGCCAATCCCCTTAACAATTCAGCATCTTTTTCCCTCTTTCCTTGTCACAAATTCAGTGCTTGAACTTGTTGCGCAGAGTTCCCACATTACCAACACCTCAGCACAGTGTCTTCTACCTTTTCTGTCTCTGGGAACATGTCAGGATATTTGCCTGATTAACAGGTTTAATTATGAGTAGCTGGAGAATGATAGGGTCAAGGGCACAAAGGTGACAATGAGAAATGAGATTTGGGGTTGATTACTGGGGGCCTTCAGTATCATTGTAAGCTTCCAAAGGTGTTAGGTTGTGAAACAAAGGTTTTCTTGGTGAAAATTTTTCAGAAGAAGAATTTTGGTTTCTTAACAAGCACACTGCCTTCATAAATCATCAAGAGTATTTTAACTGAGAAATAAAATTTTATACCTGCACAATTCCTACTTTTTGACATTGACACACTTCTCATCAGTACCAAGTAACATTTTGTCCCTGATGTAACACTGAAAACAAAACTCTTTGTGTTATAACATGGGAAAGAGTTTTATTTATTCATTTATTTTTTCTTCAGAGTCCCGCTGTTGTGAACAAGAAGTCTGCAACTGTCAACAAGATCTTACCAGACTTCCATTAAGACACCTTTTGCATTGTCATGCAGCAACAGGACAGGAATGAGATTCCTTCTGTACTTCTTGTACAGGACACTCTACAGGATACCGGACTGCTCTTTATTACTGTCCCTAACCTAAGGTACTGAAAAACTTCTACAGTCTTCTCAGAAACCTGTTCTCACAAGGATTCAGAAACAGGTTGGGAAAGAAATAAAAGCTACATCCACACTTCTTTCCCATCTTGCCCCAGGGAAAGATGCACAGGGAAAAAGATAGCACCAGAGCAAGGAGAGAATCATTGTCCCTGGATATTTTTCCTTACTTGGAGAAATTAAAAGTTACAGGAATTAGATGAGCTTGTCTAACTTTGAACATGATAATGATTTTTATTTTTTTTCCCCATGATGTTCTCTGGAAATAAGGTTTCCATAAGGTTCAAATTACTAATGCATCATTTGAAAAAAAACTTCCTTGTATTTATTTTAATTTTGGAGAATGATCAAACTCCTAGCTCTTCTGTTTTGAGTGTCTTATCTCCTTTTGGATGTTTCTTTCCAAGCTAAAAAGTCTTTTTTTAGTTAGCCTTTCTTCATGTCTGATTTTATTTGCTGGCCTACTCTGCACCCTTTTTACTGTATCCTTCTTGAGTATCTACACTAAGTATTCAACATATAGAATGCTTACATTTTGTACCATGGTGCAGATAATTTTTTTAAGCATTTTATTTGATAACTTTTTTTTTCCCCTGAGTTTATGATTGTGTTATATTTATAAATTTGTTTTTCTCTGTCCATGTATATCACTATGCATTTCATAACACTGAATTTCATTTCCCAATTTACATCTCTGTAACTTAGTCTGATAAGGTCCAGCAAAACCTTAGGCATATTTGATTTTTACTATGATGACTAATTTTGTGTCAGCAGCAAATTTTATCACCTCACTAATTTCTCCTTCTTTCAGATCATTTATAAATACATGGAATAGCACAAGTTCCAGAAAAGATTCTTGGGTGTATCAATGGTAAACTTTCTATTTAACTTTGCACTAGCTTTTTGGAAATTCAATAATTGAACTGAAATTCAATAACGCTATATTTGCCAGAAGCCTTTTATCCCTTGCTTTATGACTGTTCCAAAGGATCTAACAGGTCTGTGAAGCATGACAACCATGCTGATTTTTCTGTAATGTTTTGTATTTATGGATAGGAAACTATTCCTGTTTTATTATAATGCCTACCAGTTTTCCTACACCAGAAGACTTGTGGAGTTGTACTTTTCTGAAACTTCTCTTAAAAATTGGCCTAATGTTCTCTGTTTTCTTATACAAAGCTTAGCTGTACAAGTTAGATATATGTTTTAGTAAAACATTTTAGAAGTTATTAGTTGTGTAACTTTGTACTCTATATCTCTTAAGCCAATCCTTAAATTTGTAAAATTTTCAGACTTGGCTCCTCAAATATGTTCAAACCTTTCTACAGTAAAAACAGGGACATTACAACCAAATTTAACTTTGTAACTTTTTTTTTCCTTTTTTTTTTTTTTCACTACCACCTAGGTAATTTCATATCCTGACTGACTTTCTGGTAGGCTCCATTTTCTGATGCATTTTTAAAAATCCTATTAGATTTTTTTCTGCCTTTTGCAATTTTCTTCTCAAGGACTTTGCTGACCTGCTTCATTGCCGTTCTGTGTGTCACATGCCAATTTCTGGGTTTTGTTTGTTTTTGTTGTTGTTTTTATTTTTTTCCCATTATTTGGACAATAAAGGGAACACAAATACTTGTTTTTCCTCTCAAACTGTTAACCACTGTCTGGCAATGCAGTGAAGGGATTCAGTCCCCCTGGATGAAATGTCTTCACAGAAAAACTAGGGAGGTATGTGAGAGTTTCTTCAAAGCAAAAATAGTTTTGCCAAGGACAATAGCACATCTCTAAACTATTCCTAGTACTGCAAAACTTCAGAAATGTAGCTGGTTTAATCCAGTAGGTTTAACCTTTGAGTAGAGATATTAAATACTGCATGAAATATGAACTGCTGAGTGACATTTGCCTAAAATGTCACCTTATAAAACTCCTGAGTTAGAAAGGAATCTTTAAAGATAGCATATAAAACTCTCTGTTAAACTGGCAGTCACATTTGTTACTGGTTATCACAGGTTTTTCAAGAAAAGTGTTTTCAAGAAGTCTGCTAATTCCTGAAGTGAGAGTCACTGAAACAACTACTCCAACTGGACACAGCAGCAGCAGAAGAAACAGACAAATTTCAGAGGGGGAAGGTTCTTTCTCCCTCCTTTGCCCAATCACAGTGGACACCACATGGCTCCTCTCTAATCTGGTCATGGTCCTCTCAGTTTACTTCTCATTGATGAATCTTCCCTTTTTCACTTTCATTTCTCTAATTTTTCTTATTGATGCTCATCCACAAATACCAAGACCAGAGGCCAAAGTCAAGTGAGAAACAAATCCTATCTTTCAATATCTTTTAATATATAATATATATATATATTCATACTTAGTTATACAAGAAAAATGGAATTATATCTGCCACATTTTCAGTGTCCCCTGGCATTATAGGAATTCTGTCCTGCAGTAGATCTCTGCCCTTCATTTAATTCACCTATTTCACTTTGATCTTCCTGGAAGAAAATGTTTCTTAAATAAATTCCAACTGCACTGCAGAGTTCCTGACAACTGTTCTTGGATGTCCTAATGAAGAGACTAGAAGATTGTTACTCTAGAGCATGTTGATCTACTATGATGATCCAACAAAGTTTTGCAGTAGTTTGTGCTAATGGCATTACTTTTTACTTCAGCAAGGTAGACTTTTGTGCCTTACAATCACTGTTGATACTGCATTCCTAGTAATAGTTTTAGAGACTGAATGCCCATTAAGAACAACAGGTTTTAAACTGTAAAATTATGTACAGTGTCATTTTTGCTTTGTATTCTGTTACCGCAACTAAGCAATCGATGGAAGTCACCATTGTAAGTCCCTTGAATTTGCTGTGCGTACCACATTACAGAGAAACACTTTTAGTATTAAATCCCTTTGTATTTGAAAGCAGCACAAATTGATAAAAATCAATGCGCTTTATATTTTAGATGGTAAAAAATATTATTATTATTATTATTTCCTTATTTCAAAGCCAGAAAAGAACCACATGCATTTTTTTTCCCCTCCAAATTACACAAAACTCTTCAGGTATGTACTCTGATGATCCCAGGTCATATTGTTTCTTTTAACAGAATTTTCAGAACAGATGAGTACAAACAACTCATGCAGCAAAGACCTTCATTTACCTCCCAATATATTCATTTTCTCAGGTTAATACAAATAACAGTGGATGAGGTCATGGTCACCTTATTGAGGCTTATGGATCACCTCCTGAGATTAACACTCAGTACAAAGCTGCCTACTTAGATGATACAAGCCATCTATGATGAAGACTGGAAATGCAACCTGCAGAGACTCATGCCTGCTCTGTAATCACTGCAAAACATAGGTCACACTTGACTTGGCCAAATATTCTGCTAGCTGATGAACAACCCCTTATCTAGCATACAACATGGAAAATAGCTAGGGAAGTGTGTCATTTTTAAAACTGCCTCTGTGGCTTAGAATTTGACCACAATATTCAAGGAAGCCTGTTGTGGGTTAACTCTGACAGGCAGCTAAACACTGCAAAATTGCTTGCTCACTTTCCCTGTTGCAGGATGAGGAACAGAATAGAAAGAGTAAAAGTGAGAAAATGTGTGGGTCAAAAGAAAGACAGTTTGATAAGTGAACAAAAGTGGCACACACAAGCAAAATGAAATAAATTATTCAGTCACTACTTCCCATTATCATGCAGGAAAGCAAGGCTTCTTTACATGTAATAGTTACTTGGGCAGACCAACACCATAACCCTGAATGTCCCCAGGGTTAAAAGAAACCCTTCGTTTCCCCAGATTTTGCTGCTGACCATGGCATCATATAGCATGGAATATCCCTTTGGTCAGATGGGGTCAGTTATCCTGGCTGAATCCCTTCCTAACTTATTGTGCATCCCCAGCCTACTCATGGCAGGGGACAAAGTAAGATACAGGGAAGGCCTTGATGCTGTGTAAGCACTACTCACAATAGCCAAAACTGCTCTGTTATCATCAACATTGCTTTGGTCACAAATTCAAAACATAGCATAATATGAGCTGCTATAAAGAAAGTAAACTCCATGCCAGATTAAAAAAAAAAAAAAAAAAAAAAAAAAAGTGTGATCTCTACTCTATCCATACCACCAGGGATTGTGGGATCTAAGCATGACATAAAAGATCAAAAACGCACAGTTAGGGAGCTTAACAAGATCACCAGCCATTCTTCTGGTAATGCTGCTGAGCTCTGACTCTTTCTACAATATCTGACAAATATATTTTCAAAAAATAGCTATTTAAAGAAAGATCTGAAAGATCTGAGGTGACTGGACCTGCTGACAGAGTGAGATACTTCGAAGGAGACGTGCTGGAATCAGATTCCCCTCGGATGCATTTTCATTTTGCAGGGAAAGAAGGTCTCTCTTAGAACTGTGTTTGAATGGGAAATAGTACAACGTTTTTCCTTTTCTACATGGATCCTACTCTGTCATTTCAACAAGGAGACTGTACCCAGCATTACCTTACTCGATGACATTGCAAAGTCTATGATCAGTTTAAAACATTCTAAATTTGTCTCTTCTCTATGTTTAGTTATTTCATCTAACATTGGCTCTTTATTAACATATAAATATAAACATAGTTATTGATTCTTCATCCAAAATCATTGCTGTAGACGGCTCTAAATCTGAAATAAAAAGTGGGGTTCTAAAGATTAAAATGATTACTTTGGTACTGGCAGTAAAATGACATTGTATACAGATTTTTCATCACCCTGAAGGAGTGGGGGGTGAGGGGGAAGAAAAGAAAGAGAACTTTAATAATGAAAAGTGCTTGCAACAGCTTTATGCATAAGAAGGAGTACCAAAGGTGATTCATGTGACCCAGGGAATGAAGAATAATTAATAAAATACAAGAGAAATGAGATTTGGTTCTTCTGGGAGAAGAACAGCTAGAAATCTGAGGGGAATAAACATAAGAAATACAGAAAGAATAGTTAATTGTTAGATAACACTGAAACATAAATTAATGTTCTAATAGGACACAATCAAACATACACTGAAACAAGTTTACTTTCCAGAATATAAACTTTAGCATAAAATGCTAACAATGACATTCAAAGAAAGAAAAATAACACACACACGCATAAATATACAATGAAGTGGGAAAAAAAAAGTTTAGGAAAAGTCTAGGAATACACAGGAAGTCTAAGACTGGCATTTTGTTTTCATTTTTCTTTCAGTATTCTAGAACGCTATGCAAGAGGCCATGCATGGGGTAAATTTCTTGAGAAAGTCAAACAATCTCCTGTTTACTTATTTATTTGTTTATTATTACAGGTTTCCAGTATGTAAGTATAACTGTTTACATAGATGCCCAGAAGACTTAAGTCATCACTAAGTTCCTGATCTAGTAGAAGTAGAAATGCTTGGCTTCTGTATTACTAAATAATTTCTGTTATCTAAACGCTAGCAAAACCTCTGTCCAACGAAAAATTCTTAAAATAAGTCTCAGGAAAGGAAAGAAAGTCTTTTATCAAGACACAGCTACAGTGCTTTTAAACTTTGAAATAAAATTACTGAGAATATAACATACATTAAGTCCAATTTTCCAGAAAACAAGTAGGAAAATAAGTTTTTGCTCAGGAATAGAACTCTGTTTTTGCAGGCAAAAAATAAATAAATAAATAAATAAAGAGTGCTTTTGGATTTCTCTCAAAGTGTCTCAAACACTTGTTGCTCTCATTTTTGTCACATACAAATGTTCACACAACCTTCCATAATCCATTTGTACCCTGGTGTCAGTCCTGGCAGCCAACCCCCAAAGAACCCACTCATCTATATTGTTCACCTTCTGCTGAGCCTTATGCTTCCCTGCACTTCTGGCAGTGGCCTCCACCACACCAGCTGAACCACCAAATGCAAATTTAGACAGGGTTGAATAAGTTTGGACTCCCTGGACCCATTAGTGACAGCTGCTCTGGCACATGCTCTCTGGAGCCATATGGCAGGAATGCTCAGGGCTCCCCTTTGGAGACAGGTTGCACCTATTCCTGACTTCCCAAATGTTTAATTGCTCCTTCCACTGACACTGAAAGCAATGACCCAAGAGCGGTGATGACAATATTCCAACATAATACAATTTTAGTTATGGGTCGTAGGAAAATGTAATATTTTATTACATGCAAATTAATTTGGATATAGTATCAAAATGCATTCTTTACATCCAGGGCTCCTGGTCTCAACATCCTGTAACAAATTAAGGGATATCTCAGCAAAAGAGGGAAAAAAAAAAAAAAAAAAAAAAAAAAAAAAAGATTAATCACTTCTAATTTGAATTATATGTGTTTTACTTATTGCTCACTATGGAGCTTGGAGAATCAAATGAAAATTTACTTTTTCTTTACTTTTATCTTTATTATCTTTACCTTTATCCTTATCATCTTTATCATTTTTTTTTTATCTTATCTTAATCTTTTTCTTTGTCTCTTTTATGTTTTACCATGGATTTCAAGTGCTCAGCAGTGTTTGATAGACTGAAATTTGGGGATTTAGGCAATGTGAAGTAGACTACAGAGTTAATTGCTTCAGTATCACCTGAGCATTAAATTCTCTAGTACTCCTAGGGTACTAATTGTACTTTGAAATCCCTCTAGTGATTGGTTTTGTCCTGGTATCTTATGAACAACAAGGCTCAAAAAACCCTTGTGAGATAGATTTCATTACAGCTTTTAAATAGTTATATAAACTGGACTGCAAAGAGATCAAGTTCCTTGCTCAGTGGTGTGCTGTGAATCTATGATAGACTCAGCAATAGACCTGAAATGACCTATAGCAGTTTCCTTTCCTTTTACTGACAGGCTGTATTTTCTCAGATAACAAATTGCACAGGCCTTTTTTTTGCCCTATAGAATACAAATTATCAGTAGCTGGAGTTAGACTTTTACTCTTTTTTAGGAGGCAGCATAATGTTTTCACAATTAGGCAGTTTCCTGATGGGAAAATTTTGCTTGTTTTTGTAAAGTTTTAGAGCTCCACAAACCTTCTGTCTGTTCCGTTATTTTAGATATCTTTTTTTTTTTTTTTTTTTTTTTTTTTTGTAAAACAAACAAACAACCAAAAAACAAACCTTTTGATTTGTGCACATTTATTTTACCTTCCTACTTTCTAGACCTGGTCTGGAAGTCGAAAATAGAAAGGAATCTTCTGAAGTCCTTTTTCAACGGTAGTGCTTATGAACAAATTGGTATGGGAGAGGAAGAGAGAGTTGTAATTCATTATAAGGACTTCAGAACAACAAACCACTGCCTTAGGGAAAAAGTAAAAAAATAAGAAATAAATAAAGAAAAAAGAATGTAGGCAATTGTGTCTTTCTTTCAGTTGTTAATAAAATGGAAGCAACATTTTACAAAGCTGTAAGAGAAGTTCTGTCAGAGATCTCTTTATCTGAGACATCAATATAAGGCATTAAAGCAAATTCTTCATTCAGATCCCATCCTTTTTCTCCATTAGAATCAGCACTATTTTCAGATCCAAACTGCCTCAGCGAGCACTTATTGTCAGGGAAATAGCTGTTACAAAATGAGATGCAGAGTCTAGAGTAGCGTCAACAAAATATTGCACAGTCTGGTGCAATAACAGTGAAGAATCCCTTTCACTTCCCACTAAACAAGCAAAATTGTGGAAAACAGCCCTAGCATTGAAGCTACTCAGCTTCTTAAGCACTGAGTGTTTGTTTCATTTCCTTTGATGGTATTTGTCAACCATCTTCTGTTATGCAATATAACAAATGGTAAGAGCCCGGTTTTGCACAGCTGACTTGAGCTGTCTCCAGTGACCAACAGCCATGAAATCAATGGCTCTTCATTTGCTTTTGATCTCATATCTCCTACATGTTTCCTAACTGATTGCTAGCTTTACCAGCCCACCAACACACAGGTTACTTTCATTTACTATAAGACACATGTTCAACATACCTGTAAACAGTTTTACAATGATTTGTTTGTACACTCTGACTGTGTAATGCCATTCTTAGACTGGAAATGGTGTCTGTTAGCATTTGCTAGTCCTCCGCTGGGCAAGAGGTATGTTGGATCAATTAACATATGGCCAGTAGACTCCCTGAGCAACTAATTACTCCACCATTCATTGTCAAATAGTGAACTCTGGTGAGAAAGTTAGGTCTTTACCATATAATGCATGAGGACCCTGTTTAGATACCAGGTCAGCATGAGGTCACAGGTGTGATAAACACTCTTTCCTAAGCCAGTAAAACTATCATACTATGTTGGAACAAGCCTTAACCTTCACTGTACTGATCAGCCTTGACCTGTTTCACATTATTTTAAGATGCTCGAGGGATCAGTCTGGATGCTAGCAAGACAAACACCTACATAGCAGATGCTTCATGTTTCTTAAGGACAGTGAATGAAAATACAAAAATGGTTTAAGCATTGAAAAGATTAATTCCTTAGCCAGTTATCTTGCCTCCATAACCTAACTTTTGCTTTGTTCTGTTTCAGAAACAGGAATGGATGGAGGAATGAGAGGGTATTTATTCCATAGCTCACTGCTCTGGGCTATATAGAAATATCTGTTTGAGTTCTCAGTATGCTGACAAGCCCAAAGAACAGCTCTGCATTGTACAAAGATTTGACTAAGAAGCAGTCTGATTCCCATAAGGGTAGCTGCACAGCATTGCAGCATGGCATGCAGTGCAGTGCATAAGCTGCTTACATGTATTAGCTTGATTGAAGATAGACAATCATGTACAGTAGTGGAGGTAAGTGCAGAGGTTGGTTTTGCTGCATGTGACAGACCTTTTTTTTTAACAGAATATGTCAATTTCTTTACTTTCTTTTTGCAGGTAATTGAAGCTTCAGTAAATTCAAAGTATTTCCGTATAACATGGAATCCTACATATTTCCCACATCTACTCACTCAGTAGTTCAAAAGACTGAATGAAGGAAACTTGTATTGGTATTAAAACAGTTTAAAAACTTCACTTAAAAAGATCTGTCTTTCAGCTGAAAGTTTTAGAGAAAAAAATATGCTCCTGGAGTTTAATAATTGTTTTTCAATAGGTCTGCATATCTTTGGAGTCCAAGTCCCACTGACATGGAATGAAAATTATGCTCTCCCTTGTCTTAGAGGACTTTAAAAATCAAGACAAATATTCCAAAATTACTGGAGTACCTTTGAAAAGTTTCACCTCAACCACTGCCGTGGACTGCTGCATATATATGAGATCAGGATTATGTTTCATGTTCTTGTTTCTCTTAACTAAGAAAATGATTTCACCTTCTTTTCACTGCTATAAACATCATGTATGAGTATAACTTAAAGGCAACAAGCTTTTATTTCCACTATCAGCCTATGGTTAAAGTGAATTATAAATGAGAAAAATGTCAACAATTCAGTTCACAGATTCTCTAGAGTTAACCTATGTGGCATTTTAAACCTATCATTATAGCAAATAGTCTAGCCTTAATAAAAGAAAGATAATGGATGCTGTAGTACATAAATTGTTAAAGGAAAATATTCCAGCCAAGTTAAAACAGAGAGCATTAAAAATCATCCTCTTATTCTATCTGTTAAGTCAGGTTAGATCAAATAAAGTGATTTTACGCTTTGATCAAAGATTTGTTTCTTTGAAGATATTAATTTTGCTGAAAGATTAACAAAAGTATATCTAGTGCTTCAAGCAAGATAGCACAGAAGGCATCACAGACAATGAGGATTTCACACATTACTCCTGCATAGCTACAGATGGGGTAAGCATGGCACTTCTACGGATCATCTTCCATTGCAAGAAAAGCTAGATATCTCTTCTCAGTCATGCTGGTAACCCAGACTGAAATCTCAACCGACTGTGACAGGGAACATCAGGCTTGTCAGTGACCTTAAGGTGGGAAAGTAAATCCATCAAAATCAGGCCTTTTTGATCTAAAAAATAAACTATCTGGAGACAAATAATTTTTGTGCATGAGAAACAGCATCTTGTCCATAAAATACAGACTTTGTGGACTTCTCAGGAAACACACTGCTACTCAGTAAAGGTAGGAAAGCCTGTACATAGCCAGTGACTGCTTGTGCAGTGCCTTAGTTTACCTACCTACATTCCAGACCTGATTTTATTAAAGTTTTGATAATGCTTAGAGTTTCTGAGATGCAGAGATTCAAATAATCTCTGCATTCAAATAATCTCTGCAATATCTCATGATATTTTTATACCTTCTCAATTCTGCCATTTAGTTAGGTGTTCTGATTTCTTGTTCCCAATAAGGGCAAGTAGACAGACAGAGAAAATAAAAGATGAATTAGCTCATCTTCTTCAAGACCCCTGAAAAATACAAGCCTGAAATCAAAAAACTCTATCATATGTAATGAAAAGACTTAGGCATCAAGAAATTTCCCTTGTCAGAATTTTACAGGTTCTTTTTCCCCACTCTTCAGTCCCAAAAGCAAACTCCTGTCTCATTAGAACAGTCACAGGACCATGTCCCTACAGTTGCACCAGTATGTACAGCTTTTGGCATCAGCACCTCCCCTGCATCTCACAGTGCAGGCAGTGCATGCATCTGCCTGAGTGGGCACTTCAGTCCTGCCACAGAAGCTTGGGTGAGCTCTGGATTTTCTCCTCTCCTGTAAGATACTTGCACAATCCCTCCCTTTAAATTGCATAATAAGGAAAGGATTTTGCCAGACTGTAAAGGATGGATTGGTTTTGTATGCAGCTTTACATTTGTGTATATGTATATATTTGCCTTTCATCTGAATGCCATGCTTTGACATATCTACATAAACATGGATAGCATGTGCCCTGTCTGGTCCATATACCCAGTGCGGTGATGTTCCTGAGTGCAAGGCATAAAGCTCCTGTCAGCTTAAGGACAAAGCTCTGTCTGACTGAAATGTCAGATACTATATTAAAGAGGTAGCAGATTGTGATGATAATGAAGTGCTACAGCCTGTCGCTATGTTACCAACTGCTCTGAACTGACATGTCAGAAGGAATAGGAAAATGCCCAGAATCCCTGTTTGGATCCCCTTCCCACGCCTACCACTGACTGAAGTATTTAAAATATTTACAGATATAGCCAGCATGTTTTTTTACAAACAAAGCCTGAAATGATAAATATATCATCCCGGTGAGTCTGCTGTCTAAAATTATCCTCTTGCCTTTTCAGTTAGCCTCAGATTGCATCCTGCACCCTCCAACAGCAAGAGATCGATTTGGGAATGGGCACTTCTCTGCCCAATCTCTGTCCCTTACAGAGGCCAAATTCCCCGACTGCTGCATTGTGTTTAAAAGTAGATTGAAACAGGAGGAGAGATGGGTTCCTGCTGTTTGAGGATGAGGTGAGAGCTGTGAATGCTCTTTTAGGGAAAGGGAGGGCAATCTCCATCCCTCAGCCTGCTGATTCTGCCTATTACCGTCTTATTTATACCACATTAGCGTCACTGACCTGGGCAATGAGCCTTTTGGATAATAATGCTGGCTGCAGCTGGCCCTTAAGGGGTGAGGGCAGAAGTGAGGGTGGTGCACAAGGGCACAGCAAAAACATCACCTTCATCCTGCACAGAGCAGCGCTCGCAGCAGGCTTAATCCCTTCCCCTCCCTCAGCAAATCTACTGCTGTGCAAAGCAGAAAGCTCTCACAACCAAACCACTTCTGCTCTCATGGAAATTTTTTTTTGTAAACAAAGAGACCAAAACAGTGTCCTTATCACGGAGCTGGGGATGTGCTACGACTTGCCTGGCAGTTTTGATATGAGATGGATCTTCATCACAGGGTGTGTTTGCTGAGGAGAGATTGTGTTTGGAAGGGCACTGGATCTGGATGTGATTCTGTGTTCACAGAAGCCAATGTCATTTTTAAAATCCTCTGTCTACTCAGTCAAGCAAACAAGCTGGTTGGAGTTGATTGTTTCCTGCTGCACACTAAGCTGAAACAGAATTCTTAATTATTTTATCAGTTGTGGCTGAATTTTCAGTTACATAAATTGGTACGTTTCCCCAACATTTTGAAAATAGATCAGTTCTCTGAAAAGTCTACTACATTTAAAATAGAAATAGTTGTGTTTCTTTGTTTGGTTTGTTTTGTTTTGTTTCATGAAAATCTACCATATTGTTACATTAATTTGGCAGTGATCATTTTACACTGGTTTGGGGTGAGAGTAAATTTGTTCTAAAAATACAGAGCAGATACATTTTTAAGAGTTAATAAAACAACTATAGAAGTAATTCCATTGTTTCTGAAAAAATCACACTCAAATATCAGGGACTGCTAGACATTTGAGTTCAATAATGATTTTTTTTTTTTTTTTTCAAGATGATGTGGAAAATTGGGCAGGCCACTAGGGAGGACTATAAGGATGTAGCGAGGCTGTGCAGGGACAAAATTAGGAAGGCCAAAGCTCATCTGGAGCTCAAGCTGGCTACTGCGTTAAAGATAACAAAAAACGCTTTTATAAATACATCAACACAAAAAGGAGGACTAAGGAGAATCTCCATCCTTTACTGGATGCGGGGGGAAACTTAGTTACAAGAGATGAGGAAAAGGCGGAGGTGCTCAATGCCTTCTTTGCCTCAGTCTTTAGTGGTAAAACCGGTTGCTCTCTGGATACCCAGTACCCAGAACTGGTGGAAGGGGACGGGGAGCAGGATGTGGCCCTCACCATCCACGAAGAACTGGTTGGTGACCTGCTACGGCACTTGGATGTGCACAAGTCGATGGGGCCCGGATGGGATCCACCCAAGAGTACTGAGAGAACTGGCAGAGGAGCTGGCCAAGCCCCTATCCATCATTTATCAGCAGTCCTGGCTATCGGGGGGTCCCAGCTGACTGGCGGCTAGCAAACGTGACGCCCATCTACAAGAAGGGCCGGAGGGCAGACCGGGGAACTACAGGCCGGTCAGTTTGACCTCAGTACCAGGGAAGCTCATGGAGCAGATCCTCTTGGGAGTCATCATGCGGCACTTGAAGGGCAAGCAGGCGATCAGGCCCAGTCAGCATGGGTTTATGGAAGGCAGATCCTGCTTGACGAACCTGATCTCCTTCTACGACAAAGTGACGCGCTGGTGGACGAGGGAAAGGCTGTGGATGTGGTCTACCTTGACTTCAGCAAGGCTTTTGACACCGTTTCCCACAGCATTCTCCTCAAGAAACTGGCTGCTCTTGGCTTGGACTGGCGCACGCTTCGTTGGGTTAGAAACTGGCTGATAGCCGGGCCAGAGAGTTGTGGTAAATGGAGCCAAGTCCAGTTGGAGGCCAGTCACTAGTGGCGTCCCCAGGGCTCGGTGCTGGGGCCGGTCCTCTTTAACATCTTCATCAATGATCTGGATGAGGGCATTGAGTGCACCCTCAGTAAGTTTGCAGATGACACCAAGCTAGGTGCGTGTGTCGATCTGCTTGAGGTAGGAAGGCTCTGCAGGAGGATCTGGATAGGCTGCACCGATGGGCTGAGGTCAACTGTATGAAGTTTAACAAGGCCAAGTGCCGGGTCTGCACCTGGGGCGCAATAACCCCAAGAAGAGCTACAGGCTGGGAGAGGAATGGCTGAGAGCTGCCAGGCAGAGAAGGACCTGGGAGTGATGGTGGACAGTCGGCTGAATATGAGCCAGCAGTGTGCTCAGGTGGCCAAGAAGGCACGGCATCCTGGCTTGTATCAGAACACTGTGACCAGCAGGGCTAGGGAGGTGATCGTCCCCTGTACTCGGCTCTGGTGAGGCCGCACCTCGAGTACTGTGTTCAGTTCTGGGCCCTCGCTACAAGAAGGACATCGAGGTGCTTGAGCGGGTCCAGAGAAGGGCGACGAAGCTGGTGAGGGGCCTGGAGATGAGCATCAGAAGGAGTCTGTAGCTACAATGCTCCAGGTACCAGATGAAATGGAGGAATCAGTGTGGTATGTTGCTTGGTGGGGTAGTCCATGGGTAATGGAAGTCAGGATTAAAAGAAAGCGGGAAAGAGAGAGAAAGAGAGAGAGAGAAAAAAGGGAGAGAGAAAGAGAGAAAGAGAAAAAAGAGAGAAATGAAGAAAGAGAGAGAGAAAAAGAGAGAGACAGAGAGAGAGAGAGAAAGAGAGAGAGAAAGAGAGAGAGAAAGAGAGAAAAAGAGAGAAAGAGAGAGAAGAAGAGAGAGAAAGAGAGAAAGAGAGAAAGAGAGAGAGAAGGAGAGAGAGAAAGAGAAAAAGAGAGAAAGAAGGAAAGGAAAGGAAGGAAAGGAAAGGAAAGGAAAGGAAAGGAAAGGAAAGGAAAGGAAAGGAAAGGAAAGGAAAGGAAAGGAAAGGAAGGAAAGGAAAGGAAAGGAAAGGAAAGGAAGGAAGGAAGGAAAGGAAAGGAAAGGAAAGGAAGGAAAGGAAAGGAAAGGAAAGGAAGGAAAGGAAAGGAAAGGAAAGGAAGAAGGAAAGGAAAGGAAAGGAAGGAAAGGAAAGGAAAGGAAAGGAAAGGAAAGGAAAGGAAAGGAAAGGAAGAAGGAAGAAGGAAGGAAGGAAGGAAGGAAGGAAGGAAGGAAGGAAGGAAGGAAGGAAGGAAGGAAGGAAGGAAGGAAGGAAGGAAGGATCTGCTTTTTTTTTTTTTTTTTTTTTTTTTTTTTTCTTCTGAATGCATGTGAAAAAAAATATATGCTCAGACCACAAAAGAAGCCCTGTACACCTAGGAGAGTCCTACTCCTGTCCTTGCCCTCCTGGTAGAAAAGTCATGTTATCACTACTATTTTTCTTCTGAAAAGAAGGGTAAAACAGACATTTAAACAACCTTCTGAGTAAGAGGCCATGAAAGCTTCTTGGCCTATCTCACTCGATCAACTCTATTCATCCTCAAGACACCTCAAAGCACTTGTCATCAGTTCTGCCATATAACACAGGAAAGTTGGAAGAACTTCTGCAGCCACACCAATAGCATCTAGATGCTATATTTTCTCCGCTTCCAGCTCTGTTTTCTGTTCCACTCTTTTGCACCCACACTTGGGAATGGGCAGGCTCTAGACCGAGCTGAGACAAGAATCTGAGAAATTGTCTTTCTCTTTTAGCTCTTCTTAGCCACAGCTATCAGCAGGTGTATGTGACTAGGCTAATATTGCATATAAAGGAAAAAGAAAGATTACAAAGGCTAACTCCAACGGTCCACAGCAGCTTCCAGTTGCAGTGTAAAACTCTCTTGGGTAGACCAGGCCAGAGCTTCAGGTAAAAAGCATGTGATTTCTCATCAGAGATCTATTGCTACTAAGGAACATGATTAGATTGTCCAAAGAAGCTGTAGGATGTCCACTGCTCAAAGCAATCCAGATGTCCGCCAGCAATATTTTAGGCATAAGCTGCCTAAAATACCTCATGATCCTGATGATTAACTGAGGTCCCTTCCAGTTCTATTTTCTATGACTGTATCATTCTGATGCATATTGTAATGTATTTTCTGCCTCCTGTGAAAGTGGAAACGTTGCTGTCTTGTTTCTTTAATAGTATTTGGTGGTATACTTTTATTGACAGCAAGGCCCCTGGAGCTCAAGATGTCAGATGTATTGACTCAAATATAAATAATTTAAAGTGTTTTTTTTTTTTCTACTCCATTAGTTCTACCCAGCTCTTTACTCCGATCCTCCAGATAGATTCGTGATCAACATAATTCGAGCAGAGATTTTTTTTACTTTTCAGTAGAAAGTTTGGTTGTGTGTATTTTTTATTTATTTATTTTTCTTCCCCCACAGGACTTCAGTGCATGAGCTTGACAACATCAGACCAGTTGATTGAAATGTGCCTTTTAACTTTGTCTTAAGAGAAAACCTGGAGAAAAAGCATGAAAGGAAAACAACACTCTAAATGAAAAGTGCAAGATATATACTGCTCCACAGCTCTTTCCAGCTTCTGTGCTGAGTGGATCAACAAGGGTTGATAGAATAAAACTAGGGTCTGCCTGCACCAGGGAGAATTGTAATGAATGAATTAAATTACTGGGGGCTTCAGCCAGTTTAGCAGTAATGAGGAGAAGTCTTCTGTGGTCAAGGTTCTTAGCTTTGGTTGTTTTTATCCATTTGCTGTCAGTGCATGTTTTATAGATGAACCATTATTGGCAGGATGTCAGCAAGCACGTGTGCGCACAGTTGGACACCAAGGAGCCTCAGTAAATACTGAGATTATCCATAAGCACAAACAAAGCTTTGTGAAGATAAGTTTCAGCCATAGCAAAATCTGACAAAACATCAGTTTGTCACATCCAAATACATTACCATGCACACAGGAGGTGATACATTTGTGTTCTCTGTTTTCTTGAGCCTGAAATGTCCCTTGGATTATTACAGTTCATGGGGGTTTTCTGAGTTACTGGCAAACGAGAAGAAGCTTAATGGATGCATTCCCATTTTCATATTTTTTATGATGGGAGACATACAAGATGTATTTTCTAGCTTGTAATCAATAAACACTACAGTCAGAGAGAAAGTCTTTAAATAATTTTACAAATATAATTTCATAAATGACAAATATATACAGCATCTTATACTGTGTGATATAATTTCACAAAAGCCAGTGCTGTAGGATATAGATACCTGTGAACTTTTTCTATTTCACGCAGGTTCTGCACAGAGACTTTGTTCTTCTCCAGTTCTTGGAAGTGCTGATCTTTATGCATGAAAGTGGAGAACATTTCTGTACCTTCGTGTTTTAGAGCTCAAGTGCATCCTTAACTAGCTTTCTGCTCTCCTGTGAAAAGAATTTCACTTATATGGTTATCAAGTTTGTCATCTCTCCCCTCTGCCTTTGAAGCATCCAAAATATATGCCAGGGAGTAACGCTACAGTGTGCTACAAAGAGATAAAATGAAGAGATGATCAATCAAATCCAGAGATGGCATGGTTGAGAGCTAAAAGTCTGGTCCATTTAGGCTGCTGGTAACACACTCATCTCTCTCTCCCTCTTTCTCTCTTTCCCTCTCTCTCTCTCTGGATCTAGATCTTCTGGCTGTTCTGAGTTCAAAGCATGGCATTTAGATGGAAATTCTTTCATATTGGCCACTGTATGGTAATAAGGTCATTACCCTGGCTGGCCAGCCAGAGAGTGTGCAAAAGTTACTGCTTCAGAATGGAAATGAAGAGTTTTTTTTTTGTCTCGAGAGTACAGACAGTTAAAGTGAAATGATCTGAACTGGGATTTAGCAGATCCCTAAGGACAACAGCCTGCCGAGCAGGGCAAACTGAGTGGCTTCAAGTGGGCTCAGCCTCTTCCTGCCAGGACAGCATCCAAACTGACCCTTGTTATCTCCTGCAAAAGGAAGAGTGTCACCTCTAGTTCCTCCACAGCCAGCAGCCTATGGAGTTTATTTGCCTGAAAGTTCACAGTCTGCTAATAGCCCAATCATGTCATTTAGAAATGATAGTTTCTAATTATTTAACTTTGCAATATCTCCTGTAGATGTTGGGATCAAATTTATCCTCTGAGCATTTCATTTCAGTGCGTCTTTTCATATTTCCTTAAAGATTAACAGTGATTTCTCCAGGAAGAGAGAAGTACCTGAGAAATTACTGACTGACTTCCACAGTAGCATGGATATATTATGCTGACATTTCTAATGAAATCATAAGCAACAATCCAAAGAAAGAGGATACAAAGTGATTTCAAGATGTTCTGCTAGCCAGTTTCTAATTGGTTCTTGCTCTAGAAGTAACAGAGGATTGGAACAGTTTCGTGACAATTTAATAGGAAAAAAAAAAAAAAAAAAAAAAAAGATTTGTTAGTCTCCAAATTAATAGGAAAGTTTACATTGCTGGCAAAAACCACTTGGTCCCACTGTCTTATCCTCTCTACCTTCCTACCTACTATTTAATACTTAAAAATGTTCCTCTGTGACTGTAACAGATGTAATCATCTTGAAAGAAAAAGAAAAAGAAAAAGAAAAAGAAAAAGAAAAAGAAAAAGAAAAAGAAAAAGAAAAAGAAAAAGAAAAAGAAAAAGAAAAAGAAAAAGAAAAAGAAAAAGAAAAAGAAAAAGAAAAAGAAAAAGAAAAAGAAAAAGAAAAAGAAAAAAAATCAGTGTCTTGTATTCAATGCTTACTAAGTTATTATTTCTTCATTATAGCTAATATGAGTTTAATTTCCAGTGTCTGTGATAATAGAAATGTACCTCTTCAATGGAAAAAAAATATATGTATATGATTACATTTTACCTTTGGGACAATTTTATGAAGGTTAACTTCAGTTTACCTAAATGGGTTCGCTGAAATGATAAGTTAAAATATTTTAAGTAGTAGCCATTGCACACACAGTCTGCTGTTGTTCTCTACTATATTAAAGTATTCTGTGCAAACATGATGAGCAATAATCTAAGATTATTATAAAATGCATGTTCATTTATCAAAAAAGCCTATTTTAGATTCTACAAGAATCCTGGCAGAAACTCAGCTAGAGCCATTTAGGTGTTTATAAACAAATTAGCAGTTTGGAAGACAAGCTCAGATCAATATATGTCAGATCAGCAGGGTCTCTTGAAAAAGAAAAAAAAAAAAGAGGGAGGATAGAAGGCACAACAGAGATTTGTTTTCTAATGGATTACAATGGTGAAAGTGATTAGAGACAAGATTATTCTGAACTCTCTTTGATAAATTGTGCTACTCAATGTTGTGCAGAGAAGGTGATTACTTGGCCTGAGTGAATAGTATGGAATTAGACTTCCAAATATCTCTAGAATATCTGCTAGCAATGTGTGCATGTATATCTACAGCTATGCACACGCACTTTAAATAAGATAATGTTGCAGAAAATGTTGGTGTCATGCTCCAGGCTCGTGGGGTTGTGTTCTCTGTGGTACTACCAGATAAATGAGTGGCCTTGAATCAAACTATGTTACTTCTTTGTGCTTAGGTTTCCCAATTTACAAAATGATGCTAATCATACTGATTTTGTCAGGCAGTGTATTGTCATGTGCTGATAAAAAAATATTTCTTGTTAATGGACTGAAAATTATTTACAGCTATTTCTCATTAGAATGAGGTAGTTAAAATTACTGCCAGGAGCTTGATTTCAAAAGAAAAGCCAGCACCAGTGTCTATATTTTTACCTCCAAGACAACACACTGTTTTTTGCTGTGCTTATCTTTTCTTTCCATTGGCATTGTGTTACAATTTAGAAGTCTTATCAGATCATGGTACCCACACAGAGCACAGAAAGGTTTCCTTGCCCCAAAGAGCTCAGGAATCTATAACAGGAGTTTTCAACGTATTTGAGTCAACTGGACTTCTACCCTTCAGCATTGCTTTCGCCACAACATTTCCAATATTGCTAACTTTCCTGCTGTTAATGTTTTTTTCTCTGAGGCTCAGGAATACAAGGGGGAAAAATAGGAACAAAGAAAAAGTTTCCCTCTGTAGTAAAAGCCTATTCACTCACTCCTTTTCACACTCCCACTCTGGCAGGCTCTGAACAGCTACCTGCCTGCCTGCCTGCCCTAATGATTTTCCTGTTCATCAAAATCTTTATTGCAGAATGGCTAATTGGTATCTTTTTAGATGTTGCCATACATCTCTCTCAAAGCACAAATGCATCTGAATAATGCCTGACAGCCAGCAGATGTGTGGTCTGTAGACACAAAACCATTTTGAAATTATGCTTCTAACAACCTAACATCAACGTAGTCTCTCTTTGTTGCAAGATATGAAAAGCAAACAGAGTAAGAACTTATGCATGAAATGGGCCTTCTTTTCAATACTCAAATTTTCCAAGAAATTAAAATCCTTTTATATGCAGCATTCAGGTTGACTTTGTAGTTGTGTGGCTGAGGGAAGCAGGAACTCAGCAGGCTGATTTGGTAGCTTTTACGTTCCCTGTATCCCTTTATTTTATCAGGGAATCAAAGGAAGAGGAGGTGAATTGGTCTACTGCTAAGCCCGATTTGATATTGCCTGGCTTGGTTTCTGAATCAGTTCAGCGCAGGATCAAATAAATGGTGACGTTACTGCAAAGGAGAGGGTGCAAATGTGAGGTTGAGATAATGTGTAGCACCACTTCAGCACCCTTGCCACCTCAGCTGTTCCTGACTATACACGGAATTAAATGTCCTTCAGCACCCTGACCCACAACACTTCCACAGCACAAGAGCCCTGCTCTCCTTTTTGTTTAAAGTAAAACACCAAAATCTTGCTGCTCCTCTTTCCCTGTAAACTTATAGGCTGCTGGGAAGTGACCCCTGACTGCAACAAGCTCTTGAGCTCACATCTTGAATGCTGAAGAGCTTTGCTAGACTGCAGAGCTAGACTGCAACTGTGTGGGATCCTCTGAATGGGTTTTTCTGCTTCCACTTTAAGTAATGATACATTGGTCTGCTTGAAAGAAAAAAAAAAAAAAGAAAAGAAAAAGAACTGAAGGGCCACATAAAGTAAAGAAAAGCATCATAGTCATTACTGCCATCTCTGCAAAGAAAGCATTGCAAAGGCACTTTGCCTGTGTCTACTTTACTGTCTTCCTATGAAGAAATATATTCAAGTACTAGGGAAGAACGTGCTTGTTTTGCCTAGTCTGCAGCCTGGATTTTTCAACAAAGGCTCTTCTCTGTGCTTCTGAGCTTTTAGTCTTTAACCAATGCCAAATAGTAAAGGAGGTAGAAACACTGAAGTAGAAAAGTCAGGGTAAATTGTTTGGGATCCTTGGACAGTGGGAGTGGAGATAATGATGGGAGAATAAAATAAGTAATTGGAATGGAAGGCAAAGATAATTTATGAATGACAACCACAAAATAGTTTTATTTCTCCAAATAAGACTTACTTGCATTCTTCACCTCTTTTTTTGGATGTTTCTATTGGCCTTTTCATTTGAGGTAGAATAGGGCTTTGTCTGAAAATAATTTAGAATGTCCTGAGGCACTCACAATCAAAAATAATATACTGCAGGCAAAATAATTATGTCTTACATGGAAAAATTAGGCAGTACTAGGATTATAGAGGGCTTTTTAGCTGTGTTTCTTCCCCTTGTGCAATTCTGCTCCTGCACAGTCATGTAAGTTTTCATTTCATGCTTACATACTGTTTTTCTCAACAGGCACTCTTCCTCCTATAAAGAAGTCTCAAGGCTCTCTGAAGACTGTGTTTAAGCATTCCTTCCTGGGGTCCAGGCTATCAACTCAATAGACCATTTGAAATGAACTTGTTTTCTCTGTTGCTGCACATCAACAGACTTAACAGGGCAATGTGGCACAACACAGCTGTGCTCTTCTGAGTGTTTTAGATCGAAGGAAAATGAAACTTTTGGAAAAACAAATCAAGATTCTGAAAGGGAAAAAAAATAGATACAGATCTGGTAAAATGTAAATAACAGGACACTGTCTGGGGAGGCTTCACTGATTCTGGGTATTAAGGCAAACTGCTCTGATTAGCAGTGCAGCTCCACCAGACGCACTTCATACTGTGCAACCTGTGACACTACTCTGTTGCTCAGGGTTCACACCTCTTCATACCCCAGAGCAATGCAGGCACACATTTGTAGTGTAGGTTAAACCTCTCTGTAGCTCAGTAGTTATCTTGCTTGATACCAGATCCTTTACGTGCTAGCTCAAGAAAATGTGAAGAGAGAGCTGTTTAATTCCCTCTTCTTTTTATCATTAAGATATGACTTACAGTGTACTGTGAAGAACTCCGTAAATACAGAAGCAGCTCAAGCTTTTTTTTTTTTTTTTTTTTTTTTTTTTTTTTTTTTTTTTTAAGCTGTGACTTAATTTTCTTCATGCTTCCACAGATGTGAACCATAATAATTAGAGCATAATAATTAGAGCTAGCTTTTGGAGTTGGCTGTAAGGGTAATCACCTGGGCACCCTGTGTACAAAGTGAGGATGGAGGGATCATTGAGTTTGCCTACACTGAGATGCTGGGTGCACCTTAGTCTGTGTGCTCCCAGACATGGCATGACCTCTTTTGGTGTTTCTGCTGGGATTTTCTTTCCCTGGAAATCCAGTTGAGATGAGGAGAGGAGGAACTACTGTGTGCACTGAAAAATGATCCTGGTTTTGCAGTTACCATATAGCAATGTTGAAAAGGAAAAAGAGATCTGTAAATTACTTTCTTGATCTAATGCTAAGATTCTCCTTGCTTTTTGCCAGTTTTCTGTTCTATGGATAGCTGGCATTTGCTGAAGGTTATATTGAAGGAAGATGCTAGAAAGTAGAACAGGGTTATATCTAGCCATCCTTCTTCATGATGGGTAAGTGAATTGTATGTGCAAGGCGTTATCTGGTGTACAGAAGGAACAGGAAAGGGAAAATAATTTTACTTTTGTAAGGCATGGAGTTGTTTTGCTGCTTTTTAACCTTAGAAAAATGTTTGCTTACCTGTGAGTTTCCACAGAAACTCAGCCTCAAATATAAAGTAATTTTTAATGAGGTTTTTGACCCTCAGTTGCAGGGATCTTAAACAAAAAGGATAGGAGAAAGTGTGGATACTTAAGAGGTGAACCACTGTGAACTCAGCCAAAGATCTACTGTATGCTACAAATTAGCAGCCATTTGTTCCTGCAGTTTTATTCAAAATCCAGTGAATGTTTCCATTTACTATAATAGGGAAGTAGCTGAATAGTTGAGGGTTAAATTTGCATCAACTATTGGGTTAAGATAAATCCTCAGTGGGGAGCGAATGGTTACTAAGGCAACAGGAACATGCATTCAATACCTGTTATTCGAGTCTATACCCTCATCCTTGTTAACTATCACATTGTTTATTAATATTCACTCTAAAATGACTGTTGCCAGAACCTCTTTGCTTTGACCTAAGTAGCAGGACATGAATTAGCACAAAAAGAACTTATAACTACTAGAGACATATTAAGATGCCTCTTGAGCAGCACAGGCCTTTGTATCTGAAAAACAACTTTTGTTTCCATGTAATAAAACATCAAAAAAGCATCTGTAAACAGGGTTCTGAAGGGAATTCTGCCTGGAAAACAGCAGGACCTATAAAGATGGGGTCACATCTCCTGAATCAACTAGTATGAAATCAGCAAAAAGCCAGGCCAAAACACCCAATTAGCTTCCTAGCACCAGTATGTAGGAACTGCCACATAGGATCATGCTAAGAGTATCTGACTCTATGTGTCATTGAAGACCATGACCAAGACAAAGTGTTTTAGGGGAAGCTGGAGTACATGTGTTTCTCTATTTATTTATTTTTTTACTCCTGTGATAAATGAGATTAATATCTTTAGAAAATATATGCTACAATGTTGGCCTATGGTTGTTTGCAGACATTGGGAACATTATGGTAAGGATTTGCAAGAACTAGTACACATTGTACAATATAATAACACTTCACAAAGCTCTTAAGAAAC